TTATTTCTCTGTTTCACAATATTACATAATATTTGCATAAAAAGGGTAGGAAAAGAATGTTATTTCAGCAGTCAGTGTGTGATTTAGTATTCAGAGATGAAAAGGTTCTTCTGACTTTTTCTCTTGTTAACTGACCAGGGCTTCAAACCTCATTTTCAATTAGACACAGATGGTAGTGTTTATGGACTGGGTATTGATACAGGAATGTAAATGACTTGAGAGGATGACAGTTTATTAAGAGTCACTGCTAAACTCTCCTGGGAAAAATTATTGTATGCTCTGCCGGTGGTTAAAACTATAGAACATGCTCACAACTACTTGTATGGAAAGAAGCTCATGATGGGAACCAACCAGCAGTGGTTCTTCAGATCTGAAACCAGAGGGGCAACTTCCTCCAACCACAGGCTGGAATAACGGTGGTGCTATGGTTTTGTAGAAACCCAAAAGCATGGGGTCAGGCTTAGCATTGACTGCTATTGATGTTTTGTGGAGATAGCTTCATCATGGGGTTGATTGCAAATGCCGGTCTAAACAAGCAAGGAGTGAAGAAGTGATTGTTCAGGGGAATGAGCATGTTTGGGAAGAGGCAACTGTTTCTCCCTTGTAGAAGTGCAAATCCAGTGGAACAGTAGCTACAGGGATTCACAAGAAACTAAGTGATCCCCGCAGAGAGAACCCGATAGCAGAGTATTGTGATATTGGCAGCAGCTATCCTGGAGTACAGTCTCTCCCTTAGCATACCTCAGTGAAAACTCTGCTCACAGTGGAATGGCCTGAGGTTTTAAGATCAAGTTCTGTATAAAAGATGGGAAGAAAGCAGTAGATTATAAGCTTTATTAGCTGGCTATAGACCCATTGAAAAAGAAGGCTGCAGTGTCATGTCATCATTTAAAAACTGCTGGATATTTGAGGGGTTGCAATGTGGTATGATTTCCCTTGTGTAAGTTACAAAATAGATGTAGAAAAAGTGGCTAGGAACTGTTAAGAGACAGGGAAAGCCTCTGTTGGGCAGTATTTTGCTAAGCAGATGTTTCTGATATTTTTAATAAGGACAAGTCATTATTATCCACATTATTATCCCATCCACAAGAAGGGTTGGAAGGATGATCCAGGGAACTACAGGCCTGTCAGTCTGACCTCGGTGCCTGGGAAGGTGATGGAACAGATCATCCTGAGTGTCATCATGCAACGCATGAAGGACACCCAGGTGATGAGGCCCAGCCAGCACAGGTTCACGAGGGGCAGGTCCTGCTTGACAAACCTGATCTCCTTCTAAGACAAAGTGACTCACTTGGTGGATGAAGGAAAGGCTGTGGATGTTATTTACCTAGACATTAGCAAGGCCTTTGATACAGTGTCCCACAGGATTCTTCTGGAGAAACTCGGTGCTCATGGCTTAGATGGGTATACTCTCCACTGGGTTAAAAACTGGCTGGAGGGCCGAGCCCAGAGAGTGGTGGTAAATGGAGCGAAGTCCAGTTGGCAACCGGTCACGAGTGGTGTCCCACAGGGCTCAGTACTGGGGCCGGTTCTCTTCAACATCTTTATCAATGATCTGGACGAGGGGATCGAATGCACCCTCAGCAAATTTGCAGACGACACCAAGTTGGGTGGTAGTGTTGATCTGCTGGAGGGTAGAGAGGCTCTGCAGAGGGATCTCGACAGGCTGGATGGATGGGCTGAGACCAACAGGCTTAGCATTGACTGCTATTGATGTTTTGTGGAGATAGCTTCATCATGGGGTTGATTGCAAATGCCGGTCTAAACAAGCAAGGAGTGAAGAAGTGATTGTTCAGGGGAATGAGCATGTTTGGGAAGAGGCAACTGTTTCTCCCTTGTAGAAGTGCAAATCCAGTGGAACAGTACTCCCTTCCTGCATCTTGTAGAAGTGCAAATCCAGTGGAACAGTAGCTACAGGGATTCACAAGAAACTAAGTGATTCCCGCAGAGAGAACCCGATAGCGGAGTATTGTGATATTGGCAACAGCTCTCCTGGAGTACAGTCTCTCCCTTAGCATACCTCAGTGAAAACTCTGCTCACAGTGGAATGGCCTGAGGTTTAAGATCAAGTTCTGTATAAAAGATGGGAAGAAAGCAGTAGATTATAAGCTTTATTAGCTGGCTATAGACCCATTGAAAAAGAAGGCTGCAGTGTCATGTCATCATTTAAAAACTGCTGGATATTTGAGGGGTTGCAATGTGGTATGGTTTCCCTTGCGTAAGTTACGAAATAGATGTAGAAAAAGTGGCTAGGAACTGTTAAGAGACAGGGAAAGCCTCTGTTGGGCAGTATTTTGCTAAGCAGATGTTTCTGATATTTTTAATAAGGGCAAGTCATTATTATTTGCTTGGGGTTTTTGAACTAGTTCACAAAATGGCATAAAGATTACTTAGGAGGGCATTGTCTGGCCCCTGAGTGCACTAGGTCTTAATGACCCTGACCAGCCTCACCTGAGGCCTCCACCCGCAAGTCATTATTATTTGCTTGGGGTTTTTGAACTAGTTCACAAAATGGCATAAAGATTACTTAGGAGGGCATTGTCTGGCCCCTGAGTGCACTAGGTCTTAATGACCCTGACCAGCCTCACCTGAGGCCTCCACCCACAGTCATGGCCACAGGAGCTCTATTTAAGCTCAGCCTGGTCCTTCAGTCTCTCCCCAAGCTTTGCTGAGAAGCACTGGGTTATAGCAATGCTGTGCTGCCTCTTGATCTGGATCTCAACCCATGGGCTGACTTCCTGGCTTGACCTGGGACTGCAGGTTGTTGCTGTGGACCTCTCTGGTGACTGTTGAACCTGATCTTAACCCTGACCTATGGACTGACTTTCTAGCTTAACCTGAGACCTTCCTCATCACCATGGTAAGGCCTTAAGATCTGGATTCTCGGTTGGACCTGGCCATGATCTCTGGGTTTGTCCTGCTACATCCCTTGAGTTCTGTGGGATGGGCCCTGACTACTGAGGCACCAGTGTTCTCCTTGGCTCACCTTCCTTTAGGGAATAGTCCTGCCCTGCATGCTTCCTTACAGGCACAACATAGAGCCAGCTGTAGCAGAGAGGGTGAATTATATTTGGGATTTTTGGGGTGGGTCATATGCAGGTCAGGGAAGAAATTTTGACTCAAAAGTGTTTCTGTAGATTTGTGAAACCATAGGAAATCTGTTAAATAACCTACATCTCAGGGCACCAACTTCTGAGGGGATAGTAGAGGAATTCAGAGTGGATGCTGGCAGTTCAGCTGGCTTCATTATCAACAAGAGGCAAGAATTAGCATTTAGTATTCCTTGTAAACTTGTAGAAGTGTAGGCTAGGGCTCCTTACTCTTGGTTGGGGGCTGGAGACTTCTGGAAATCTTCTACATGGCGTTCTTGTAGAGATCATTCAGAAGTTCTTAATTCCAAAAAGAGAAACTGAAGTGTCCTATTTTTCCTGCAATATATTTAAAGGCAATCCCTGATGAATGGACCTATTTACTACTGGAATGATCTCTACAAGAATGCCATGTAGAAGTTCTTAATTCCAAAAAGAGAAACTGAAGTGTCCTATTTTTCCTGCAATATATTTAAAGGCAATCCCTGATGAATGGACCTATTTACTACTGATGCTTCTAGTGTGTGAGCCAGGAGTACTTCCCTGCTCTTGGGTATGGGTGCTCTGCTGGAACAAGACCCAGAGTACACCAGCCCTTTACATACCCACTGAGAGATTCAAAGGAAGCTTGGAGTTTCACAACTGGAGAGATCAGGACTGCAGAGTGTGCTGCGGATGACACTATTTCAGTAGCAACAGTGCCATTCCTGAAAGGGAGATGATTTGTTAGAAACATCTCCAGCCCTGTTTGGTTTCGCTGGATCTAAGACAGTTCCTGAGTTTCTGGCAAACTTTGGGGACTATCGTGTCCTCCCCACAGAGCAAATCACAGATGGAACTACTTGGAACTGGGAGTTTGAGTCCCTATCACTGCTTTGTGAAGTCAGTGCTCATTTTAGCTGTGATAATCGCTGAGCAGCTGAATAGTTTGGGGAACTTCCAGTTCAGAAGAATTCCTGAAAATATCTCACTTAGATTTGATTTGGACTGAAATCAAATCCAAAAAGCCCCCTCAAATTTCCATTGAACTGCAAATCTTGCTTTAGAGCCAGATCTGACTGGAAACCTTAAACTGGGTAAACCTTGGACAGGACCCTACATAGAACTGATGCAAACACAAGCTATGTCACTGAAGATAATTTGGGGTTCAGTCTTGGAAATAAATTGTCTATGCCCAACTGAGAGCATTTCCAGCGTTAAGATTATTCCCCTCACTTTCCCATTCTAAAAATGGAGAGAATACCTGTCAATCTTGAAACTGCAAAAGCTGTTTCAGCAACAAGCCTCCTCCATTAGGACACAATGTGTGGGGTGTCTCAGCCAGCAACTCCCACTCATACAACAAACACTCCTCAGGGACCTGTCGTAAGGGGTCCCTCCAAGTAGCCTGAAAGAAATCTATGGGGGGAGTGGAAAACTGCAAAGACAGATGCAACGAGGTGGAATTGGTTTGGAGTAGCACTTGGAAAACCTCCTAATAGAAAGATACGATACAGCTGCTTAAAATTATGTAATTTGTAATGAATCTTCTATAAAGAGTCTTTTATTTTTATCTCCTCTTGGGGGTGACTTACAGGTGTCAACCTTCTGTCCTGAGCTGCAGTGGTGAGTAAGTGAGGTTAACTGAGATGTGGCTATGAGCTGCCTTGAATCTGATCCTAATTGCTGCCTTATCCTGCTACTAAGTGATAAGAAGCTGTAAAGCTCCCTCGTGAAACACTGCAACAGAAGTGATGGAGATTTCAATCCAAAGCTCATTGTCCAGAACCAAAGATAGAAAAGGTGTTTAGGAATTTAAAGTATGTGGCCACAGAGTCTTCAGTTGGAATCCCTTTGAAGGGAGTGCAGTACGTGTGTATGAAAAATAGAGAAGAGAAAGCTAAGTACTCAAAATGAACAAGTATTGGGAGTATGGTCCTAACAGAAAGCCAAATGAGAAGGTCTGATGTGTCAGATGACTGGCATTGTCAGCAGAGACAGTCTCCTGCTACTCGAGTCCTATTCTGTTCAGGCAAACAGGATGGCATCAGAGAAATAGCTGACTCCTTCATCAACCAGCTTCTCCTCTTAACTGGAACAACCTGCAATGCCCAAAGTTGTGACTTGGCAGGTAAGAGGGGTTATAACACACATGCATTACTTGCTAGAATAGTTATGATGGTTTAGAAAATAGTTTCTCTCCTTTGTTCAGCATACGGATGCAGTCTGTCATCATTTGCAAATGGACAATGGCGGGGAAAAAATAAAGTACTGACACAGGCAGAAGTGAATCCTGCACACTAAAGTTAAGGAATTGGGACTAGCACAGAGGAAAGTCCCCAGTAGGAACATTTTGTTCGTGGTGCCAAGAAAAAGCATGAAAGATGATACTATTAAGCTTGGAAAATAGGAATCTCATGCCAGTGATGTTAGAACCTCAGAAATAATGTGTCAAAGATGTTGGAACATTTAGAATACAATCTTTTACTGTTTCAATGTCATCAACATGTTGTTCTCACTATTTTCTATGACAAGAGAATTTATTGAGTCAATTTGTCTTCAACATGTTAAATGTACTATGCGTAGGCGGGTAAGCTAACCTTATTTATATAATATTACAAGGGAGAATGCTAACTACGCTCACTTCTGCACTTTTGAAAACTGTATTTCTCCTAACAGAAAATACCACACATCCATTTTTCAGAGTTACAACACTCAGGGAGGTGTGAGAATACTGTTTCTTAAAAGAATGGCTTCAACAAAGAAAAGATAGAGGGGGAATCCTACCTGTGGTGTTGAAGTTACACCAAAAAATTTGTTTGGTTCTCATTATTTTGCTTAAACTGCTCTCACACCAGATATTGGTCCATCTTTCCTACAAAAATCCTCTCAGAATGAGGCCCCAAGATATCTTTTCTTGCTGACTCTGAAATCTGTCCCTTTTCTGCTTCATACATTAATCTTCTCGGCTCTGCTTCTTTACTTTTTGTGTCACTTTTCTTGATATAGAGGGAGAATTTCTCATCTTTCTCTGCCTTTACATTAATTTATTTTTGTCCTCCCTGCTTGGCGTTGATAGAATAAATGTAGTTATCTAAAACCTGTAACTGCCCTTTTTTCCCCCCTAGCAAAGGTCGGCTTGGTAGTATTTCTAGACGATTAATGAATCTTTAAGCACCTTCCTGTTTCTGAGAGGGATGCCATATGCTTGACTTTCTCCCCTTCAAGCAGAGGTGATGCAGCTGCTTTTGCTAATCATGCAAAAGGTGATATTATATGCAGAGATAGGATAACAAGCAAACTGGAGCCAAACTAGTCCAAGGGGTTCACAACTTGAGAAGCATGGTCTGGCGCCTCGTTCCTCCTCCTCCCCACTCTGCCAAATATTTCTTCAAAACATGACATTGGTTTCTTCTCTTGCTAAAATAGTGGCCCTTGCCATGCTGTATCTTTTGTCATAGATACTACAATCTGGTCTCTTTTGGCTTTATAACAGTAACCTTACTTATTCTACCTAAACCATTAGAAACCACAGTCCTTGCATGCTAGTCTCATAGTCCAGTCCCTTTTCCCCTCCCCATTTTAAATCACTGCATTGGCTTTTCACACCAAGCAGAAACAGGTTACTGTTACCTTTCAGTACCTGCCTGCTGACATATCCATCAGCTTGAACCCAGCAAACACCCTACTTTTACAAACTGGTATGGACCATCTTCTTCCCTGCTGTCTTTCCTTTAACCAAACCCATGTGCTGGATGTTGTGCCCTGCAGCCTCGCTTATCCTCATCTTTCCTTTAACCAAGCCCATGTGCTGGATGTTGTGCCCTGCAGCCTCGCTTGTCCTCGGTGTAGTCCCTCAGCTGCACTGCAGTAACCTCTCCATTCTTCTCAACTTTGCCATTCGTGATATTAAATGTTCAAAGGAAAGAATCCATTCCTTAAATATCCAAACTACCCTGGTGCTTTATAGAGATGTACGTCTTGTCATTCACTGACTATGGAGCCTAAGGAAGAGCAATCTCTGGAACTTTTTTCATGGTTGAGATGTTTGTATGGTCACTTGCCCACACGTGGGCACTTCATGTCTAAAAATACCTTCATCTAAATTACACTCTTCTCCGCAGCAGAGGCAATTGTAGGGGTTCTGGTCACTTGAATTCACTAATGTTGTAAGAATTCAGTTACTCAGTTTGGAACCCGTGCTGTCTGGCAAATTTGGTTAAAAGCTGTTAATGACTTGTTGGGGTACTCTGGGAGGGACAGATGTGCGTGTGCACACCGAGAACATGATTGCACAAGTTAAAGCCCTAGAAAGAAGCTTCAAATGTTTGTAGGCACAGTATTAATCTCAAGCTGTTTTATTGTTGCAGAGCTAGCTCTTTATCTTCTCACAGTGTCATTCCTGGTAGCGTTGTCTCACCTACTACACCTTTTCTTAGCTGGAACGCGTTCTAATATAAGCACTGCCATGATTCAGTTTACATGGGTATAAGATTATAGGTGGCATCAGGTGTTTCCCTTCCTTTTCCGTTGTTGTTAAGACCATCACCTGCTACAATAGATCTGCAAAGAAACTAGTGCATGTATCCTTTAAACATATAAAATTATTTATGTAAACTGCTTTCTAGTTTGTAGATTTGAGGCTTTTGTAACTTAGCACAAGGCAATTGAAAAAATTCTGGACCAGTGTGTATGGAGGGAGAAGCTGGATACTTCTTTTCTCAGTTTTATTGTTTTTGTTGAAAGAACAAAGAGCTCTGGTGGCAGAGGTCACATCTGTGTCTGCATTTTGTACAGTGGCAAGCACTCAACACATAGTCATTGATACACTGGCAGGCCAATTTGCAAATAGGGGTGCTTTAATAACATGTCTAAACACAGAACTCGGGCACTCTATTAAGGTCCTCCAGGGCTCACACAGTTTGAATCAATTTGGCAATAATGTTGGGCACTTTATAAAAGCAAGACTAAACAAAAAGAATTTTATTTTTTTTTTAAAAAAAAAGAAGACTCACTTGAGACATGGAAATTTGGACATTATTCAAACCACAAAACAAAATGGGTGCAGGGTAGTACCACTGGTAGCTGTTGAAATAGATCTGGAAGTTGGAAGAATCTCCTTGTAGTTTCACTGATGCAAATCCTTTCAAAGGCAAGAACTCGGTGCCCTGCAACTTTCCAAAGCTGTAGCAGGTAAAAGGATTTTAGTCATTTCTCTGAAATGGATGAAGTGACAGTGGCAAAGAAACATCTTTCCAACATCTGATTGTGTTAGGGCTTTAGCGAAAATGTAATTACACTATGAAAGCATGAACCGTAATGAGACACTGCAAAACATAACATAGGTCTGTGTACGCATTGTAACCTTGGTGGTGTTTGGATTTTACTGTGAAGGTAAAGAATTACACAACTACCTTTGTCTAAATATGGACAGTATCGAGAGAAGTATTTAAAATTCGGGGTTAAAGAAGAAAGGAAGAGGAAGGAGTTACAGTGTCCATGTAAGCTCCGTGGGGCTGGGTGTGATTCTCTCAGCATTTGCACCGTGTCCAGTTTAATAGAAGGACCCTGATTATGGATCTGGAGCAACTAGAGCTAGGAGATAAATGAATCTTCAAGACACCTAAATCACAAAGTGGTAGCATCTGAGAGAGGATGGCATTAAACATGCTGCATACATGGTACATACTAAAATTAAATCCACTAAAGGGATGCTTAGTCAGAAGATTTTACAAAGTTGGGGGCTTTGTGTACAAAATTCATATTACATTCTGTATGTATATTAGGCAATAATTTCCAGCTTCCTTCCTTGTTTATATTTTTCCTAATTACTATCCTTAATTTTGTTTCATTCCTTCCCGCAATGTTAAACCCAATAAAAGAACATCTACAAAGTGAATAGTACTTATCACTGTATCCAAATGAAAGTGTAACAAAACCTAGACCTGTTAATTCTGCAACTGTGCTGAGGCATCTGTGCTGTAGCGAGGTCAGAGCAGAAGGCTGCGAGGGAGGACTCCTGGGTCTAGTCTCGGGTCCAGCAGTAAGTGTTTCTGGATGCCATCCAGCTTCCACTCATCTTGATATTAAAACTCGCGCTGAGTTTAGTGACTTGAAACAAGTCGTGCAATCTTCTTATGCCTTGATTTACTTTGCCCGAAAAGGAACTAAACGAAGAATAAAAGAGAGTGAATTTTTTTCCCCTGCAAAAACATTTTCTAGGGGGTGGAGGAAAAAGGGGAATAAGCAAAATACTGGAACGGGCCATAATATATCTAAATAGGAGAGAAGTTGAGTGATTTGGGTTGCAACATAAAGGACTTCTAAGCAATGTTCAGATGTGCCCTTAAACCTTCTGTCTTGTAACCTAATGTATTTGAGGGGCAAACCTGAGTTCATACCCCTGATGCCTGGCTCTTGGGAAGTCAATGGATTCTCCACTTTCATGGAAAAGCCCTAACTAAAGATAATTTTGTTAAATAAAATAGGGATTTGAATATGGATCTTATTTTTTCCTTTTTCTCCAAAACTGTCCTAGCTACTAGACTGTGCAAGGGCAAACAATAGCCTCCATTTTATTCAAACAACTTTCCTTATTTCCTTATATTTCCTTTCACTTCTTTTGAAATTTTCATTTTCCAGAAATAAAACACTTCAGGTCAAACAGAATGTTTCCTTTCACTTGAAAAGGAATGTTTTCCCTTTCCCTAAAGCCAAAAGTTTTACTGTGGGTCATACTGAAACCAAAAAGTATATTGGATTCAGCTACCAAAATCATTTATTCACACAGCTCCATGGCAGGGTGTTTTTCATGGCAAATTAACAGCTGTAGTATGCTTTGGGACCTTTGGATGAAAGGGACTATAGAACTGGGAGGGATTATTAGGTATATTTAATTTGCCTTAAGTAACATGGTGGAGGAAATAATCAGTATATTAAACATACATGAAATATTTTTGGAATGTATAGTCTGTTTGAAAGGAATGAATGGTTCATGTTATTAGCTGGGAAGTGAAGTATATATAATCCACTGTGTGTGGCTGTCATCAAAGCCCTACCAGGAATGCAAGACTAAATGTGCTATTTTTACCTTCTTTTTCTTTCCTGCTTGCTTTGTGGTTTTGGCAGAACAAAAAGAGACCTAGGTAAAATGAGAAATATTGTTTTGCATTTATCATGATTGTGTTTGAGGCACTGTCTTTAGTATGAAGGCACAATAAGCTTTTCATTTGTTATTTGCATTAGAGTACAGCATAGAAGCCTAGGCTGATATTAAAACTCTGCCATCCTAGGCACTCTGTGTGCTCATGGGGAGGAACAGTCTTTGCAGCCGAAGAATTTATGATAAAATAGTCATGCCAAAGGATGAGGAGTGAACAGTGTCACGGAGGTGTAACTCTGTGTTTGCCTTGTACCTGGAACATAACAAAACCAGCGCTTGGGTTCTGGTCTGCTGCCTCCCCTGTTCCTTATTCTCTTGAAATATGCCACCTTCCTCTGGAATTAGCCTCCCAACAGCTCATGACCCCAGTAAAAGCATCATCTTTTCCATCCGCAGATTTCAGCAGAGGCAGTGGATGAGTGTGATGCATGATTCACTAGAAGGTGCACACAAAGGTACCCATGTTATTTTAACTTTGTTGTGACAGACCCTTAAAAATAAATGTATTCCTTTCATCTCCCAAACCTGACCTGGCAAGAACATTCATTTAAAGAAGCTGGTGATAAAGCCATACAAGAGATTAATCAGCCTTAAATCCATACCATTTGTAAAAGAAAATGGGGTGGCACAAGCCTAGTCTTATTTTATTTCAGTATTTTAACAACAGATGCAATGCTGCCTTTGTTATTATCCTTTATTCCTCAGACAGTGTTCCCCCTCCTAATTATTACTTGTCGTCTTTAGTAAGATTGAGAAATGGCATTCTTTGAGCTCAGGTAAATATCAAAGCAGTCTTACTCGTAATGACAGAGCTGCTTTCACTGGGGAGTGAAGTGTAATAACCTAAAAAAGGTATTTAGTATGCTTTCCAAATTAATGTATTAATTTCTTCCGAGCAGAGGTCTCCAGCCCCGCTTGAAAACAAGGGTACTTATAAATACCCACAAAGTTTGAGGGTAGTTTAGCAAATGGTAGCCAAAAAGGCGTTACGGCCACCTCCCTCAGTATAAATAGCTGGTGATGAACAAAGTTGCCCATCGTGGGCTTTGTCCCACTGCCACCCCAGGGCAGAATAGTTTGAATATAGAAATTCTATAAAGGTTTGAAAATCAAAGGTAAGTTAAAAAACAGGCTTTTTCTTTCATATCTTCCTTTCGGCAGATACTCTTTTGTTTTAGGTATGTGTTTGTTTAAAAGGAATACGGGAAGATAAGGAACTCATTCAACTCAGTGGTTTTAACATCTTGGAAAATTCTTTAGGATTGTGCTGAAAAATCAGTTTTCTGGCAACACTTCTCTCTCTGAAATACTATTTTTTTTATTTCAGGAAAGGTTCAGAACAAAAATTCCAACCAGTTTTATATAGAATACACTGGTTATTCTTTGTAGAGCCGCTTGAGATCATTAAAATCTGAGAGCAAGCATGGGTACAGGCATGTTTCACTACCTGGAGATGGAAGCATGGACTTATTCTAGCAGAGAGGTGAAGTAGGAGCCCTGAATTTTTAATCTGCCCATCTCAATGAACCTCCATGCGGTCTTGACTGCTCCAAACACATCTATATGTTTAGATGTGTGAACCTATGGATGGGAACGTATAGAGCTAAACCAGAGACAGCTCGGGAGCCCGTATTCCACCATTCTCTTCAGCATAACCATAATTAGTGCGTTCTTATTTAGGTAGAGAGAAACAGACTTTCTAAAGTGTTAAGAAATAAAGGAACATTCCCTGAAACTGAGAAATTTGCAGGCTATCACAGATATAGCAAAACCGACAGAACTGGTCGGAAATTTGCCATTTAAAAGCTACTTCCAAAAAATCTAATTTTGTTCATTAAATTAAAATCAATTTCACTTAAATCAATACTAAATGAGTGAAATTATCTTTTCCACTTTGGGCAAAAAAGGAAAAAAAAAAAAAAAGAATCCGCTTTGCAGGCTTTGTTTATCAGCCCTCCCATTTTTCTATGTATTATTCTTTTATTATTCCAAAGCTAGCTAGTAGTTTTCACAGAAATCCTCTGGTTTTTAGATTGAAGTGACAAAATGTCAGGGTTTTTTTTTTTTTCATTAAAATATAAAGAAAAATCTTTTTCAATCAGAATTTAGAAATAGCTACTCTTAATTATTTTCAAAGCAAAAGAGAAGTTCATCCCCTGTGCCGCGGTGATGACACATGGAGCGTTCGTGCTTTCTTCCTAACGCCTGGGACCAAGGTGAAAATAAGACAAATGCATAAACAAAGTCTGTTTGACTAAGACTTTTCCGCTCAAAAGTGGTTTGTGTTTGGTTTTGGTGCGTTTTTTTGTTTGTTTGGGGTTTTTTTGGGGGGGAGGGAGATGGGGAGGAGCATGTTGGATTTTTGGTTTCTTTAAAATAGGCTCTTCAAGAGCCAGGAGAGGGGCATTGGAAAGCATTTCCAAGTAACGAAAACACCCGATTTTACTCTGACCCTTAACGGGCTGGAGAAAAAGTAGAAAAACTCCTGCAAAATACAAACTCCCATCTCTTTTGGCAGCTGAGGCCGGAGGCAGAGGGCACCCTCCTCCTCCGCCGGCGGGAAGACCTCAACGGGCAGCTCGCCCTACGGGGTGCGGCGGCAGGGGAGGCCCCGTCCGCCTCACCGTGAGGATTTACAAAGAAAAAAAAAAAAACCAAAAAAACCTCAACTTCACCCCAAAACTCGAGGTAACGGGACGGCTTTTTCACGCCGCGGCCTCCCCGGCCCGGCCTGGCCTCGGGGGGCTGAGGCGAGCGTCGGGCGGCGGCGCCCCCTGGTGGCGCTCGGCGGGAGCCGCCGCGCTCCCAGGCGGCCGAGGCCGTTTAGGCGCCGGGCCGTGTCCGGCCGCCCCGCACCCTTCGCCGGCGGCCCCCGCTCTTCTCACGAAGGCGCCTTCGCGTGTGTTGTCGGCGGCAGCGGGGGAGGTGGGCCTCCGGGACAGGTGCCTCCGGGCTCGTTACGACCAACGTGAACGGGAAGGGCGACCGCGGCGGCGGCGGCCGGGCCCTGGCTGCGACCCCCGGGTGGAGGGAGCAGGCCGCGGCCCGCGGGTACGGGCTCCTTCAGGAAGCCACAGGGCACCGGCAAGGGTGGAAAACGATGCTTTCACTTGGGGCAGAGCCCGATGGGTCTCGCTGGAGTGTGCACACCTTTTCTTTAGTTTCAGGGCCCCTTGGCTCCTCACACTCGCTTTTCCCCTGCGTGGGCTGCCCGTGAGTTGGGGTTCATGAGGACTCCAGCATCAGTTGCCACAAGTCGGCCACAACTGGTGTGTTTCTCACAGCTGTGCTGCAAATCCAGAGGGCTGGAGCACCTCTCCTATGAAGACAGGCTGAGGGAGTTGGGGCTTTTCCAGCCTGGAGAAGGGAAGGCTCCAGGGCGACCTTATAGCAGCCTTTTAGTACCTAAAGGGGGCCTAAGGAGAGATGGGGAGGGACCCTTTGTCAGGGAGTGTAGCGATAAGATGAGGGGTAATGGGTTTAAACTGAAAGAGAGGAGATTTAGACTAGATATTAGGAAGAAATTCTTTCCTCTGAGGGTGGTGAGGCACTGGAACAGGTTGCCCAGAGAAGCTGTGGCTGCCCCATCCCTGGAGGTGTTCAAGACCAGGCTGGATGGGGCTTTGAGCAACCTGGTCTGGTGGGAGGTGTCCCTGCCCAGGGCAGGGGGGTGGAACTGGATGATCTTTAAGGTCCCTTCCAACTCTAACGATTCTATGATTCTGTGCTCTCCTCCCAGCTTCATTTGAGAGGTTGCAGCTCTGCATGACGGCACATTGCTGAGCCACTGCAGGGTGAATGTCCCCTGTAAGGTGCTTTCTTGGAATTTTTGTATTTGAGGCTAGTGCTGTCATATCCTCTGCTCGCTGTAGCCTGCTTCAAAGCACGTGATTGCCTGAGCACTAGTTAGCCAAAATCTGGTGGGGCTGAGAAGTTCCCCAGGTAGATCGTACATGTAGGCAAAGAAAGAAACTGAGCTGTTTTCTTCCCATCCCAAGAGGCAGAAAAGGGGATAAGTGAACTGTACTACACACAGGCTATAGCCCAAACATGTTTTTTCCCTTTCCTTTCAGGTTAACTGGAAAAACTGCCTGCCTCTAACAGTTCCCTATTGATGTGTGGCCAGTCATTTGCCCCTGTGCTCAGCTCTTACAACTGGGATACAACAGAGTGTCCTACGTGGGGATGGGGCCCTGCGAAAAGAATCACAGAATCATCTAGGCTGGAAGAGACCCTCGGGATCATCGAGTCCAGCCATCCACCCTACTCTAAAGTTCTCCCCTACACCCTATCCCCCAACACCACATCTAAACAGCCCTTAAACACAGCCAGGGATGGGGACTCAACCACCTCCCTGGGCAGCCTGTTCCAATGCCCCACCACTCTCTGTGAAGAATTGAAGAAGACCTGTAGTTTGATGGCCTTCTTCCAAATAAAGGAAGTAGATGCATCCTCTGCCTGTTTGCATCCTTCAGGTAACTATAGCATACTCAGGAGAGTGGAGGTGAGGATGGCATTGCTCAGATCCTTAGTTCTGGAAGCCTTAAACATGCACTCAAGTATTTCTGCTGAAGACTACACTGCACACAGTCGGAGTACTGGAGCACCCTACCTACTCTACCATGCTATCAAGCTCTCAATCCTTATGCCCATTTTTTTTTAATATTTGGGTGAAAATGCTAAACAGAGAGTCTGATCTGACAGCCACAAGCTGAAGAAACGTCTGTATCCAGGCAATACTCAGATATGTGGTAAGTAGGTAGGCAGAAAGATAAAAACATACATAGATTGCTCACTCAATCTGTAGATAGGTCTACAGATAGATGACCTCTTCTAGGTCATTCATTAATCACTAATGCAGCCTCAGAAGTAATGCATTAAAAAGTAAATATTTTATGGATTTTTTTTTTTAAGCTCTTGAGGATTTTGAAATAATAGGAACACCTGACTCCTTAAAAACAGTCATATTCTTTTATTTGGCAAAAGAGGCAGAATTCCTGCTTTTTAAAACTTTCCCATTTTTTTCCTTACCCACAGGTGAAAAAGTGCATAAGCAACAGAAAGCACCAAAGACCATTTTTCTTCATAATTTATCTTTTCCCATGGAAAAGGGATTTGCCTTCCTTGTTTTACTTGAAATGTGAGAGAAGGCTTGTGTTCCAAATTTTTTTTTTTTTGGTGGAGAATGGGTGAGAAGGAAGTAAATGAGAGAGCTTTCTGGTCTTCACTTACTTTGTTAAGTTTTCCTTTTTATTCCATGGAAGAAGAAAAATGGCGACAGAACATTTCTTCCCACACACTCTATTTCGAGTTCTGTGCCCTTTTCTTTGAGAAGAGGGGATTTAGAGAGCACAGAACTGGAGTAAATCCCCTCCAAAAATCCTCTTCTTTTTTTTTTTTTTACAAAATATTTCTCCCTGTGAGAAAGACAGATATAAGATAGCAAATAACATTAAAAGTGTTTTCTTTTAAAAGTGAAACTAGGAATTATAGTAGTGTTTTTCTTAGATTTTCAAATAACTTTCCCTGTCCCTGAAGTGTCTGCTGTTTTGCGGAAGTTGTTTCACTTTTTTTTTTTTAGTCAAAATCTGCAAAACTGAAATTTTCTTTCAGGGTTTCATCGGAAGCAAAAAAAAAAAAAAAAAAACGAAATAATAGGAACACCTGACTCCTTAAAAACAGTCATATTCTTTTATTTGGCAAAAGAGGCAGAATTCCTGCTTTTTAAAACTTTCCCATTTTTTTCCTTACCCACAGGTGAAAAAGTGCATAAGCAACAGAAAGCACCAAAGACCATTTTTCTTCATAATTTATCTTTTCCCATGGAAAAGGGATTTGCCTTCCTTGTTTTACTTGAAATGTGAGAGAAGGCTTGTGTTCCAAATTTTTTTTTTTTTGGTGGAGAATGGGTGAGAAGGAAGTAAATGAGAGAGCTTTCTGGTCTTCACTTACTTTGTTAAGTTTTCCTTTTTATTCCATGGAAGAAGAAAAATGGCGACAGAACATTTCTTCCCACACACTCTATTTCGAGTTCTGTGCCCTTTTCTTTGAGAAGAGGGGATTTAGAGAGCACAGAACTGGAGTAAATCCCCTCCAAAAATCCTCTTCTTTTTTTTTTTTTTACAAAATATTTCTCCCTGTGAGAAAGACAGATATAAGATAGCAAATAACATTAAAAGTGTTTTCTTTTAAAAGTGAAACTAGGAATTATAGTAGTGTTTTTCTTAGATTTTCAAATAACTTTCCCTGTCCCTGAAGTGTCTGCTGTTTTGCGGAAGTTGTTTCACTTTTTTTTAGTCAAAATCTGCAAAAGTGAAATTTTCTTTCAGGGTTTCATCTGAAGCAAAAAAAAAAAAAAAACCAGTGAGAAATTTGGCAGGAAAAAAGAAATCCTGCCAACCGTCTTCCATAGTTACATGGAGTGGAAAATGGAGCCGTTGCTGGTGCTGCTGTCTCTTGCTCGACTGACATCTGGTCTGGATGAGTAAATTCACGTAATCAGCATGTAGGGTGTAAATCAGGTGAGATCCCATTTCTTTCTTGCTCTTTCTGTGATTTGGAACTCAATGGGGTTGCAATCACTAAGTTCCAGGACTGTCCAGATCAGCCCTGGACGTGTGGCCATCCTGGAGAGATCAAGTAGCTCCCTGTGAGAATCTGCCACCTTCACAGAAATAAAAAAAAAGATCAGGGAAAGGGAGAAGCGAAACAGGAATTAATGTTAGCACACGAGCATGATCGAAGAGTTAGGTACAGATTGAGGCTCTTTGTGCCAAAAAGGCAGTCTTATATTTTTAGGAGTTGATAGTTTTTCATTTACTGCAACATTTAATGCTAATAAAACAACAGATTGTGAATATTTGAAAATTCAGCTACCTCCTGCAGGTGGATTGCTCTGATATCTCTTTAAACAGTTTCCAAGCTGGGCGATGTCCTGCTCTGCATTATTACTCTGTGGACTAGGCTGATATGTTTAAAGCCATATGAGGAAGATGTGACAGAAAATTTCTATGGGAAATTATTTCTGGGAATACCTGTCCTTAATGATGTTTCATTAACTCTTGGCAGAACATACATTATGGCCTTCTGCATTTTTGGTAGCTTCACTGAGATCTGTTGGAAGACTTGAGTGTGAGGCAATGATCTCATAGTCTGTGCTGGCCTGGGCCTGGAGAGCAGAGTGTCCACTTTGCAGAGGACAAATGGCATAAGTCCCCATTGGACCTGCACTCCCATGGACTCTCCTTACCATGATTCCTGGGCAAGTGCCACAGAGAAGCTGATATAATCAGTTGTATGTTGTCCTGGGTATATTCAGTGAGTTGGTAGCTGTGCTCCTGGTCCTTGCTTATGCAGTTGCTATTAATCCCCTATAATTCCAGGCACATAAAGCCAGAAGCTCCCCTGAGCTTCCTTTCTAATCAGTGGAGGAAGAGACCCTCCTGATGGTAATTCAATTCTTAACTAAGGAGCGGTGCATCTCCAGAGGATGGTTTGGCCCACTCAGGTAGCCAAACGAGGTGGAATCTGATCACCATCTCTTCTCTCTTTAACCAACAGAAATGCCAGTGAAGGCTTCATTGCACCTGGGTCACGCTGCAGAGAGAGTGCCCGTTGCTGAAGAAATTTGGGAAGTAGAAATATGAGACAAGGAACAACAAAGATCTGCCCTGCTGACCCTCTGACATGACCTTAATCTGGCAGTCAGTGCTTGCTGAGTCAACAGTGGCTCACATGTCCTCTAGTGCTAGCCAAGAAGTGCAGCTGGTGCCCCATCTTCTCCTTCCTCAGTTGCTCTGTGCCTGGTCACTCCAGGACAACACCACACATCAGTCTCTGCAAAAGGCTTTTCCAGACCCTCTTGGCTGTGCTACTGTCTTCTGTAAAATGAGCGTTGTCTTCTTCCTTCAATGAAGGGTTAAAGTAATGTGTCTCCATATTTTTCCCTCAGGAGTGTCACAGAATAGAAACCCACAGGGATGAGGGAAACCTCAAGTGGAAGTTGGGGTTTTGTAGCAGTTTGAGCCCATGTAACTTGGCACTGCTGCCAG